GGGGGGGGGGTCCCTATTATAAGTATCGTAGAATGGGCCCTAAAGCACCATGCGGAGCCTTCAGGTAAGACCAGTAGCCGATCAGCTTGTCCAAGGTCCCCTTCCACTCGCCCTCCTGTAACTTTAAAGAGGTTCAGGGCTTTGGGTTTAGGGTTTGGGGTTTTGGGCTGATGCTTTATTATTGGTTGGAGGTTTGGGGTTGAGGGGGTTCGAGATGGGGCTCTGGGCCGCGTGCCCAAATGTAAGGGTAGCTGTATGTTGCTACTTAGGGGAGCATGTGGCTATTTTGCGCACGTGGGCCCTTCGGAAGGTTCCGAAAACTTGAAGCCAAGCTCCACTGAAACCGAGTGCCTTTCTCCCAAATGTTCCACGGTTGAGGGTTTAGGGTTGTGAAGCCCTATAGCACTCTGTCAAAAGCCCTAACATGAAGGACTGCCATCTTCTAACCTTAAGCAGGAGCAAATACCCCCAAACTCTTCTCTAATCCGGGAGCTTCAAGGAATCATGGTGAATATGCAGGCCCCTTTTTTTATAGCTGCAGGCCGCAAGATGCGGTTTCTTGGGATGCAACCCGCAGCCGGAAGAACCCTAAACCCTAAACTCCATTTCAGGGTCTGCGGTAGCAGGGTTTACGGCTTTAGGGTTTTAGGGTTGAGGGTAAGCAGCCCTGATCATTGGCCGTGTAGGACACCCAGAGTAACACAGGAATAAACAAAGGGCTCCTTTTTTGGCATTGGCTTTGCTTGAATAAGGGATCTATGACCACAAAAAAGGAACCAGGAGACCTGGCAGTATACTTCGCTTGCAAAGAGGTCTGTTTATGCCTGTGACGCATGTAGGAAGATAATCTACCTCATAGCCTACTTTGCTGTGCGTCCCTTCCTGCAATACTTGAAACTCGGGTCCGGATTACGCTTACAGCATCCAGATCGAACTCATGTCTTCGATACGGTGCGGTGAGATTCAGGCTCCCAAAGAGCTCTAGGCATCTATGCAGTCATTACTCGGAGGAGCTTCTATTGTTGAAGGTAGCAAGCTGCATAGCTGTAACCCTTCAAGCAACACAAAAGATACTAGTACTACTGCTATCAATCTGGGAATTGTTGTAAACTCCTTATTATGAGTAATGCAGGATTTATACCATCAACCATATTCCAATTTGTAAAAGCATCCCACAATGGGTGCCTGGGATCCTGGGGGCACCCTGAACCTTTGCAGAACCCTTTAAGCAGCTCTCCATCGGCCCGACAACCGAAAACCCTACTTTCTGGCCAGGAGCCTCTAACACTAAGCGTGGCAAGCCAATGCAACAAAATCAAAGTAGAGACATAGATAGACCCCAAATATCCCGAAACCCGCAGCATCTCCGGAACCCGGTGCGCCTGACGGAGAATCTTGACAGGGAAGGGTGCATGGTTCTGCAGTAGATCCAAGTTCTTGTGCGCCTTGTTCCTCAAGAACTCTCGGTTAAGAGCTTTCGTTCTGACTCTTTTAGTGTATGTGCTAGAACCCTCGGAAACCCCTTATCACACCCGATTGAGCGCTTCACGAGCCCTTGATTGGCATACCAGACCCGAAGGGTCCATGTACCCAAACAGTATATACTTTGGCCCCAAAGTACCTCTGTAGGGACTACTGTTATGGACAAATTATATACTATTTGGGCACATGGACCCTTAGGGATACAACACATGTCTGACCTAAATACTCCCTTGATAACGTAAGTCACTGTTTCAGGCCTAGCGGGCTAGGGCTGCGGACTATGGAGTTTAGGGTTTCCTTACCAGTGTAGCAACTTCTGAGGGCTTTTTGCATTTTCTAACTAAGCTTCCCTAAACCCTAAACCCAAAACGCTAAAGCCTGAGCTCTAAGGAATAATTGTGGTAGCTCTTAATGAGGCTTCTATGGGCTTCTACAGTAGGCCAGTCGCACAACTCCCAGTCTCGCCTTAGGTGCACCCTGGGGAAAGCCGAGAGGTCTCGATTTGGTTCTTGGGGCTTGGCTCGGGAAATCCACGGGTTTGACGGTTTCAGGATTCGGGTTTAGGGATAATACAGGCCTTAATGATAGGCTTGGTATCATATAGTACAGTAGAGGTATACATGAGCGATAAGGGAATATTGTACTAGCGACTACTAGAGCCAGTTGTGCAGATCTCTGTATTGCACGGCTTCATAGTGGGTTTACAGTTTAGGTTTGAAGGGGTACTTTGTTGAGGCCAGGGCTTTACTGCTTCAAAGATCCAGGTTGAGGGTTGTCTCGAAGTCCGCCGGTGAAGATTTAAGGCGGATCCCCACGGGAGGATCCTAAAAATGCTATGGGAGAGTTCAACGAACTGCGCACCAAAAAAAACAGAGCGAGCAGAATGGGAGAGCGAGACAAGAAGGGACTCAGTGTAGAGCCCCAGTATAGTTCCTATCGTGAGAACCCCGGGTTTAGACTTTAGACAAACCCGTCCAACCCCCATGAAACCCGTCAATTAGGCTCATTTATAGCCCACGTGAAATCCTTACAAAAAACCCTGTGCAGACGATTGCGTATGAAGCCTGGCACTGCCAAGGCACATGCGCCCAACGTGCATGAGCAGCAGTTCTGAGCAATCCCTACTTGAGAAGTACTGCTCTTCATACATAGCCAGGTCAGGCATACTAGTACAATTTAAACCATAAACCCAAACCCTACGTGCAGAAGCCTGATGCCCCCCCAAATTCCCAGGACTAAAAATACAAATCGGGTTGCCGTACTGGCCTTAAACCACAAGCCCCGCACCCCAACAGGCTCAACACTAACCCTAACCCCAAAGGGTCCAAGTACCATTATAGTAGGTACTTAGTAGGTATTGGGCCCCAGAAAGTATATACTATACTATTACTTGGACCCTTGGGGAACAGGCCAAACCTTAAACCCCAAAATTGAGGCGCGCACGCATACACCGCAATCTGCACGCTTGCAACTCTCCTATAGACATAGGCCCCATAGTAGTTCCTTTTTGGGGTTACCTTATAGGATTCTAAATATGAACCCCAAAAAGGAACTACTTTAGGGCCTATGGGTAGACATGACATCCGGACGCACTAAAAAAGCATACCACTGTGAGTTCAGGGCCTGGGGGCTCAGGCACTCAGGTTGAAGGATGTAGGGTCTAGGATGGTTTAGGCGTATAGCGGTTTAGGGTGTAGAGACTTTAGGGTTTATAGGGGAGGGGTAGGGGGTTAGGGGTAGGATTTGGGACTTTAAACCTTAGGGTTGAGGGCTGGGGAGTAGGGTGTCTTGAATCAGAAGATGGCCCTTTACTCGGTGGGTATCTATAGGGGCGCTTCTACTTAAGCCTGGATCACGGCTCCATGAAACCCACACTGTGGATTTCATGGAAGAAAGAAGAAAGCAGAGTCCCAGCCCAGACGGCCTGAAGCTAAAACACAACAACATAAAATGCGCAATGGCCCTGGTGGTACACGAGGTAGTTTATGGTAAATATGATTATAGTATGTTCTGCTTGCGAAGCTAAACGTGTCCTGTCTTCCCAGAAATATCTCAGCGTCCCGCACGCAACCCCAAACTCAAACCCTACACCCTAAACACACCCAAACTCTAGGATGTTAATGCCCGAAAGGTCGATGGATTCAAGATGGGCGCCGCGACCGCCAAAGAGGACGTCTAATGTAGGGGCCTTAATAATTGGAATAGGGTTCTGGGTTCCTTTATGGTATAACTGTACTAAAGGAACCCCAAAATAATATAGGGTAATTATGTAGGCCCCTGTATTGCACAAGTGCCTGTCGACTCCAAGAAGAATCTTCTCTGAGGTCCTCGGATAAGTTGCGAACTGGATCGCTTGCCAAAGCTCCTCCTCCTGCAACCTCGGCGACGGTTGCGACACGCCAAGGGTTCCTTTACTTTAGTCAAAAAGTAGTTTTCTTGTTATCAGGGTTCGTGCAGGTTTGGGATTGTGGGCGGCTTAATGTTTAGGGTCTTCGGGTTGAGAACTTTCGGGAAAAAGTCTTAGTTCTGGATGGTTCCAACTTCTCCCTGGCATGAAATAGCCAACGGTAGAAAATGCTTCCCCAAAAGCCCAGTTATCTTTGTATTGCCTTGCCATACCACAGCTCTGTCGGGCTGCAGAACATCGGGGTAAACTACCACAGAGCCAAAATGGCATGCAGGTTGTAGACGTACAACTGTAACGACGTCATTTAGGGTTAGGGGGCTGTCTGGGTCTCGGCGTACCACAAGCTTGCTTGGCTCAGGGATATGGGTCGGGTCCAAAGGATTTCGGAGGGATGCCTATGCATCGAGGGTTTCAAATCATTGAAGGCTGTTGTTTAGGCTGTTTAGTTTCTGTAGGTCCCGGTTGCGGGCTCGCTTTAGCGTACCCTCAACTCGAGTCCCAGCAACCGCTTAACAACAAGAATGCTCTTTTCGCTTGTTCATGTTGAATTCGGATAGAGGGATAGCCCGCAAACACGAAGGCCTACAAGCTTTATACGGACTCTTGAGGCTCTGTAGGCTGCGACAAGGGCCTGACAAGCTAGAACAGACAGTTCGCGAGAGGGTTATACCCCAACAAAACTTAGCAGGAAAACCCCCCGCGACCACGCCCTTTTCAACGTCTCACATCGGATGGCCCGCGGCCATAAATGCTTCGACTTCTGCCTGGCCGCGTCTGCAGAGTAGGATGAGGCTTCTCGTTTTCACTGCTTCTATGCCAGGTGTTTCAACACTCTCTTGGTGTGGAGTCCCCCTGTTTGCCTAATTTCTGAAACCCCCCATGTCGGGATGCACATGCGCTCGCCAAGGGGAGAGGAACGGAAGCAGTCAGTCCGCGACTCGGAACCCTAAATCCCAAACCTGAGGTGCCTGATCCTCAACCCCGCTCTAAACGGCGTGTTATGTGTGAGGTTGCAGAATACCCGGCTCTTTCTTATCGAACACACAGGCCCCGATAATCCCCAAACCTGGACTATAGTCTTAAAGACACAAATTCTATGGCTTGATGAGGCTGATGCAGGGCCGCTGGCTCTTTGCTTGCTGCTCCCCTACACATAAACCCTAAATCCCCCAACACCTGAACCTTAAGAAACGCTTGGAGTCCTGGGTGCCGCGGCATTGTCAAGACTAGTTCGTAATCCATGAGAAGCCTTACAATAAGCTTGACGGATATTCCGAGTACGTGCTGTACCGCCCTGTACAGCCTGACCTGTACGTCATATAATAGGGCCTTAACACTTAGAATGGGGATTGCGGGTAGATTGGTGTACAATATCTACTAGGCCTTGAACCTCCTCCTGCAGTCTTAACACTCGCTCAGAAATCTTGGGGAAAGCAGCTTTCACAGTGAGAGGCGATTCCGACTTGCGAGACTCAAGACACATGAAACTGTTCGCAGTTTGCAGCCAAAAGACCACTAGACCCCTAGCGCTGGAAACGTTGACAAATCCAAGCACCTGCTGCAACACATTGCCCATGTAATGTAGGGGCCTAAATAATTACCAATAATCATAGTATAGTGTGCCCCAAAACCCTATTCGAATTATTACGTCCCCCACATTAAAGCAACAGTACTTGGGCAGAGTCTTCCCACACATGTTCTCAACGCCCGATTCTGAGACCCTATAAATATGAATCCCAACAGTCTGAACCCTAGCACCTAAACCTAAACCCCAAACAACACGACCAAAACCCTAATCTCTGAACCCTATCCATAACCCTAAACCCTAAATTTGCTTGAATTTAGGGCTCTATAACCCACGGCCGCTGCGTTGACTAGACTGGGGCGCCGGCGGCGGTAAGCGGCTTTTCGCAGCCCCCGAGGCGCTCGCAGTTCAGCGCGCCAGCTGCGCAACCTTCGCAATTTCAGGGTTGGCTCTAAGGACTCATATTCTAAGGCTTTTGGGCCCAATGACCATACTATGTAACTCTTTTGGGCTATATTGAGCCTTAGGGTCATAATCCATGAGGCTACCAAAGAATGGGTTAAGACCTAGTTTCAAGCTCCTGGGCGCGAGGACCAAACTTCATGAGGCTGCTTTGAACTTCAGGATTGTAAGCTTAATAAGTTTTTAGAGAGACCGGGTGTAGGGTTCTTCTATGGCTCCAGCTTAATAAACGATTATGTGAGTTAGGCATATCTGCATGCAGGGTTTAGACTTGAGGCAAGGGCTTATGGTCTAGGGTGGAGGGTCGCGTAGGGCTTTAGGAAGTGAGGTTTAAGGTTCGGGCCTCAAGGTCTGAAGGTTCTAGATAGTCGGAAGATCCAGCGCAGGCTCATAAGTGGACCATGGGCCCTAATGTCTGCAGCTGCACTTTGTGGATTATCATGCAAAGTTCAGCTTCACTTACCTAACTGGTTTCATCAAATTCATTAACTTGTGAGGCCACCCTACTGTACATGTAATTGTCATACAGTGTTAATGTGTTGAGGCCTCTAAGTGGGGAATCCTATCAAACAACCATGGTCTGCTAAAACAAGCAACCCTTAAGCGCGACTGTTGAGTTGCATGCTATGAAGGCGACACGGACCACTGAGTGCTTGTAGTTCTCAACCGCAAGACTCGGTGCAAACAGCTAACAGACCGTATACGGTGTAGCTGCACCCAGAGGCCTGATGTTTGCCATAGGGCACCTCTAATCCCCAAAGTGTTTAGGGTTGAAAATCCTTATGTGCGAATCAAGATTAGTTCTTGTCTCACATTTTAATTGCTTGCAGCTTCTTATTGAAATTCCAGCGCTAAGCTAGGGCTCACCCATAAAACAACAGTGCAGTGGCTGTGCAGCTTGGGTGGTGAGTGGGCATAAAGACCAGGTGACGCGGTCGCTTCGCAGAATCATTCGTTGAGGTTTTAGGCCTCAGGGCTATGAACCATTAGCCACTTTGGGGTCCCCAGAACTGCCCTTCGACCCAGTGCCCCAATGCCCTCAACCCTCTTCAAACTATAGGGCTCCTATAAGGGTTACTTAAAGGGGTCTATAAGGGCTAGAGTAGGGGCTTCAATAAGATACCTAGGTGGGGTCCGGGGGTTTGGGGAATAGAGTTTCGTGGCAGCAACGATTGTGAACCGGGCCTTTGGCCACGGCATCTGCCATTGGCTCACCGCACCTGCAATATGTTCACGGTTTCGCGGCTCAGATACGGTTGAGGATTGAAGGATAAGGTACTGCATGCATGCGCACGAGAGCAAGCGCGAGTGGACAAAATAAGTGAAGTGGAGCACTGCCATGCCGGAGTGCCGTCCTCAGCACCATCCTACCTCTCAGCCAAACAACAGTGTTCCCAGGTAAATAAGATAACTCATAATCAGAAACTGAGATAAACAGCAGAAGCATAAGATGCACATGACGGAAAACATCAAATAAACACAGGGGACAGAGAGGAAAAACAAGGAGCACCAAGAGCAAAGTTAAAACACAAGTCACAACGCTTTTGGAACACCTAGAAAAGCAGGGCTGATCTGTCCCGAGGCCCCCACACCCAGGAGGCGAGCAAGGCCGCAGCAAAGGCATCTCCGGCGCCGGTAGGGTCCTTTCACAGGTCTGCTGGTTTAGGTTTGATCTTGGGCTAAGGGTTTAACATATGCTCGGCGAAAAAAATTGGCCAACAAACTTGGAAGCCCGTTCCTCAAACTGGGCCTTTGTGTCCTAGCTGACTTTGCTTACAGTGTACAGAGCTTCGAGAGTATGAAGTCGCGGTCATTCCACAGTGAAAACAATTAGTGACAAGCCACAGAACACTGGGTGCCTTCCTGAACAAGTATCTAATTATAGGCCTTAAGAGGGGTTACTAGATATAGGTACTGACAAAGCCAAGTTACGTGCTATATAGGTATATGTACACCAGATGACAGCAATTAAATCCAAACTTCCTAGGGTAAGTCTGGTTTGTGAGTTTGTGAAGGTTAAAAGATTTGACTTGGGCACTCAAACAAAAGCGCCCCAAACCCCGAAACCCGAATCTCCCTTGGTTCAGGGTTTAAGGTTTGCCCAAGTCCTCCCCTCAAGTACATATTCTATACCGTGATCGTCGTGACGTTACGTCGCAATGAATGGCGTTGGGTAGTCAAATCCTGGTACTCAAACCCCTACACTGCTTGGATTCTTGTACCCTTTACGCTTTAAGCCCTAAACCTCGGAGCATAATCAAGTAAAGCTCGAAAACCAAGCCTTAAAGCTTGCGAAGCTCTACACCCCAAAGTTTATTTGGGGCACTTGGTCCCTGTAGGGATCCCACCTTCATTTCGGCGCGGTAGGCTTGAGTCTTCCCTTGGAGCCCGGCACTGTCCACCCACACAGCTCCTCTCTTTTTGGGGAAACAGGCAGTATAGGCTTCGGGCACTGCTTAAAGGATCATGGGACTTAGTAAGTAGGGTTATAACTAAGGTAACTATACTCATAGCCCCCCATTGGGGGACTTATAACCTTACTTACTAAGTCCCATGATCCTCCAAATGTGTAGAGGGTTTAGGGTTGAGCGTATAGGGTGGAGAGCTTGGGGCCAGAATCTAAAGATGTGGGTCTGCGCTTCTGGCATGAGCTCTGTAGGACGAAGTTTGTGTCTGGCGTAGAGTATGACATAGAAACACAGAAAAGCTTGATATGTTTGGGTTTGGAACTAGTGGGCCCGGACATAAACGTCAGACCCTTCATTTTATTGTGTGTCCTTTTTGAGTGTACCCATCCAAATAAAAACCGAGACGCCTCGTTCCAGCCGCAATATACATGAACAAGCATCCGTGAATCTAAAACCAAAACCAAAAGAATAAGATGTAAAACCTATAACCTCACCTAAACCCTAAACCCGTAACCCCCACTATCCTAAAGCCACCTATACACCTCATGCTCCATCAAGCATGAGCTGGGATCTCCC